AAAGAGGAGAGGCTGCAGGACAGGTGCCCAGGGTCCTTGTGCCCCCAGCAGATATATTACCCAGAGGGCACCAGCCCTGCTGTCAGAACGCAGTGAGTGGAGGATGAACCTGCCTGGGTCTTGGCCCTTCTAAACCAGCAGCCTGGAGCAGGTCACAGCAGAGAAGCCCTCCAGAGCTGACCTGCCCTCGTCTCCATGGAGCGCACAGATGCCCTCAGTAAAATGTTTGTCCCTCGAGAGAGATGGAAGGGGAAGCAGCCTCTCCCGGGCTGGCTCCCAGGTCTCTGTGCATGACAAGCACGCCAGCTTCTAGCCGCCTCGGGATCACTTGCGTTGTTTGAACAGGTGCCATTGTGGGTGTTTCCTTATTCCTTGTTCCTGGCCAGGTGACTGACATGAAGAAGAAGATAGAGCATGGCCTGGGGTGCCTGAAGACTGTGGAGGAAGCCAAGAGCAAGCTCCAGAAGGACTTGGAAGAGCTGAGGCAGTGCTACAAAGAGAAGGTGACCGCCTACGACAAGCTGGAGAAGGACAAGACGCGGCTGCAGCAGGAGCTGGACCACAAGGTCGTGGACCTAGAAAACCAGCACCTGAGCATCTTCAACCTGAAGGAAAAGCAGAAGAAGTTAGACAAGGTGCATGCTGTTTGAAAGTTCCTTCTCATTTCCTGTCTTACTCTAGCTCCATGGCCTCAGGCTAAAGCCACTGACCAGGAGTGGGCCCTGGGATCCCATCACCACCCGCAGGTGCTTGGAGGTGTCCCACTTGTTGAGGGGCCTGGCAGGGATGTGCTCAGAACAGGCCATCTTCATACCACAGGTTTAGGACTGAGTGTTCAGCTTTCTGTTTCTTACAATTTTCACATTGTTTTATAATGATCCAATTTTAATTACTTTGAATTTTGGTTCACATGTCAATATCTCCTCCCCCTCACACGAAAGGATCTGAGGCAGCTTACAGACACGTCGACATGGGGTTCAAAGGGCAAAACAGAATAACTCGGCGCTCGGGCCCCAGGCTCACGCCCCCCGGCGCCCATCATTTTGGAAGGGGGTGTCTTGGACTCGGCCCTGCTGTCTCCTCTCCTGTCGCCTCTGGCTGTTGTCGTGCCGTCAGGGCAGAGTCACGTGCTTGCTGTGCAGACACGGCCTGCAAGGGCTACAGCATTTCCTCCCTGGGCCTTTAAGGGAGAGTTCCGGGCATTGGGAGCGGGAAGGTTGGCATAAAAGGGAGAACAAGGGGCAGCCCGCACAGAGAGTGCACCAGGGGCACTTAAGGGCACATCCTTAGAGTTGGCTGCACTTGGCCTTCAGGCTTCTAAATATCCAGAGTCATAGGCTTCAAGGTAAACACCGTCCATTCATTCAGGAGAACATCCAAAGCCTTTCCACATTGGGTCCGTGCAATTTTCCTGCGGGTTCCCATGGAAGGGGAGCTGTGTGACATAAGGAACCCTTATTAAGTGATAACAAGGACAGACTTTCAGCAATGTGGCAGGGACGATCTCTACACTTGTCCAGTTACTAGGACATACTGAGCAGTGCACGCCACCCTGGGAACAGCAGGGTTCCCCCAGCAGCCGCCTGGTGCTTGCTTGCTCTTCCTGGTCTGCACCCCTCAGACCTGGCACCAGGCCCTTCATTGCTCAAGGAGATGGGTCTGGATGGCCTGCACATTGGGAGCTCCTTGTAGGAGTGTGTTGCCTGAGATTCATGGCCCCCCTATGTCTCCCAGCTCCTGGCTGAGGAGAAGACCATCTCGGCCAAGTATGCGGAGGAGCGTGACAGGGCTGAGGCAGAAGCCTGTGAGAAGGAGGCCAAGGCACTGTCATTGACCCAGGCCCTGGAGGAGGCCATGAAGCAGAAGGCAGAGCTGGAGTGGCTCAACAAGCAGTTCTGCATGGAGATGGAGGACCTCATGAGCTCCAAGGATGACATGGGCAAGAGTGTGAGTCCTGGGACAGGCCAAGGGGGACAGTACAGATTAGTAGGGGATGAGGGGACACCAAGGCAGAGACCACAGGGAACCCTGACTCGGGTTCCCGTGGGTGGCAGGTCCATGACCTGCAGGAATCTAAGCAGCTCTGGATCCCCAGGTGGAAGAGGTAAAGACCCTGCTCGAAGAGCTGGAGGACGAGCTTTGGACCACCATGGATACCAGGCTGTGCTTGGAGGTGAAATTGCCGGCCATAAAGTCCAAGCTCAGATGGGTCCGACAGGAGCAGAGCGAGGAGAAGAAGCAGCGGCTGGTCCCAAATGTGCACATTGCCCCTCCCTCTCCCCTGGACATGGACCCCCATCCCCACATTTCCACAGACTTCCTTTCTGTCCTTCCTCCACCTGGACTGTCGAGAGCTCCTAGACCAGGTCTTCTGGTCCTCTATCCCCGGGAAGGGTAGCGGAGCCCGTGGCTCTATCAGTGGTTTTCTGTTCAGTCCTTCTTACGGGGCACCAGGGCCCCGTGGGTCCCAGAGAAGGGAGGCCAGAGCCACCTGGGCTCAGAGCGGGGGTCGGGTCTGTGTGTAGCTCATGCCCTCCAAGCCGCTGGTGTCTCCCCCACGTGCAGGAGAAGGAAGCAGAGCTGGAGGAGGACAGGATGCAGCGCTCAATGGCCGTGGCCGCTGGGAAGAGGCAGGACATGAACCTGAAGGATCTGGAGGCCCAGAGCGACTGGGCCAACAAGAACCACAATGAGGCCCTGGAAGAGCTCCGGAAGCTGCAGGTGAAGTCAGGCTGGACCAAACCCGAGCCGGCCACACACGGTGGCTCTGAGCTCAGTGTGGGGCTGGAGCACCAGTGGGGCAGCCAGGGAACGCTGGCAATTTGTGCCGTCCCCTAGCCAGGCAAGGCCTTGGTGCCCCAGCCTGTCTCACAGATGGAGACTCAGGCCCAGAGGCCTCGTGGGAAAAACAGCGGAAGAGCAAACCTGCAGGACGACATGTGCCTCTGAGTGCGCTAGAGAGCAGAGTGTCTACCCTGGCGGTGCAATGTCCCTGGTGACGACAGTCACTGAGCGGCACATGTTCACAAGAAACAGGATGTGGCCCCCGGGTGACCCCGTGCAGCCTCATGGGCCATGGTAGTGGGTCGGGGCTGCAGGTTCAGAGGAGCAGCCGGAACGGGGATGGCCTGGGACCTTCTCCCCTGAGCCGTACTTAAAATACAACAAGTTAAAGGATCTCTGCGCTTCCACCTCATACTCAGCAAACTGGTGGAAATGAGAATGAGTTTCAAAGTCTGAGGGTTGTGAGGTTACAGTGCATAGAAGTCCCGCTGGCTGGTGGTGGCAGTCTCCTCGAGGCATCTGGCTGAACCTAACAAGTCTCAGGCTGTGACAGGGGGAGCCCCTCTTTGGGATTTCCTGCCACAGAATAAAAAAGGCTACTTGACCAGGCTCTTTTCAATGAAAAATTGTCCCAGGAGACTGATAAGGGAAGGTGTTGGGAACCGCCCTGACTGGTATCAGAGGCTAAAACCCCCGCCTAGGCTAAGGCTAAGGGAACGCCCTTGGAACCATAAGCCGGCAAGGAGATAAAAGCTTATCTTCCTGGCAGGAATGCTGCTTCTGCTGCTTTATTCATAACTGAACCCCCAAAAGCTTGGTCGGTTAGCCAAAGACGGGTAAGATTCCCCACGGGGGAACGACCTAAGCCAGGCACGATCACTTTGGGAGGCCTCCCAAAAGAAGGACTTGGGGGGCTGCAGCAAAAGGGGGTGATGGACCCTCGCTCCTCGGCTTTGACATAGCCTGAGTTCTCAGCGTCTGGAAGAAAATCTCCTTATCTCTTGGTTGCCTTAGATCCCTTGCTCCACCTAAGCCTGAAACAATGACAGGGTGGTACAGCTCGGTACTGAGAAGTGCGGATTTCCCGGGGTGATCAGGCCTAAGAAAGAATATGTAAATTACTGTGAAATCTTCTTTGTTTAGAATGCTCTCAGTTGAATGAGAAGGGTCCTAGGAGGAAGTTATTTTGTTCCTCAATCTTACAGCTCTTTGACCCCCAACTCAATAGACCGGCAGAGTTCTTTGTTTTCTATGGTTCCTTACTTCCCCGAATGAGTACTGTACTTTACCTGAATTATTATGCAAAATGAGCCTAATAAAAGCAGGTATGGACGGTAAATCAGGGCGCTCCCCACTAGGGGGGGTGGCCATTCTGTCCCTACTTCCCCACAGAAACTAGTTTGTCTCTGTGCATGTGTTGTTTTTTTGTTTTTTCTCGCGTGTTTATCGTCGAGCCATCCACAGCGTTCCGTGGTCACTGCTGGCCGGTGACCCACGTGCAACAGAAGGAGTCCTGAACTCCCTGCAGTCAGGATGACCTGGCAGGAGAGCAGGTGCTCGCTGGGTGCAGCAGTTTGGGATCCCCATGCCCAGGGGCTGCAGGGAGGAAAAGCCACAGAACTGGGGCCAATACATGCACTGAGACTCCCAGGCCCAGAGCATACTCGTGGAACCTAACGGCCCAGAAGTGGACAATGGTGGGGGCCAAAGGGACATTTGCTTTAGCTACTAGTCAGCCCTTTCAGTTCAGCTGCTTAAAGGTGGTGTGAGGGTGAAAAACAGCAACAAGCTTCAGGAGACGCTTATCCCAGGAGGGGGTGAGAGGGCAGAATGTAGGGGAAGGGCAGATGGGTGGTCGCTGGCCTGCTGGTGCCAATGTCTCCTCCCTGTTTCCAGGTCCAGATGAAGGACTACACGAGGGAGCTGGAGGGGATGAGCAGTTCCCTCGAGGTGATGCTGGCCCAGGCCAAGGAGAACCAGCAGAAGCGGAAGAGCATGGAGGCCGAGATCATTCAGCTGCAGGAGGTAGTCCAGGGCCAAGGGGCACTCAGGGTGGCTGCCCACTGGCCAGCAGGGGCTGCTCAGGGCCACGCCTGGGCCAGTCTTAGGCAGGGCTGGAAACAAGCCAGGGCAACTTCAGGGAGGAGTGGGGGTGGCTCTCTGTGACAGAAGTCCCATGAGGGCTTCACTGAGTAGCAGGGCTCCCTGGGGTGAAGGAGACTGTGTGTCACCACCACCTCCCGGTGTGCGCTGGGGCCTGGGCAGGTGGGTGTCTCTCCCAGGTGCTTGTGCCCTGGGAGGCCCCTTTGCCTGTCACATGTGAGGCACACATGGAAGCGGTTCCCAGGTTCTGGGCGGTCTTCCGCAGTGTGGGGTCACGGCTCCTGATGTCCCTGTCACTTCGGCCAACACCCAGGCACGTTCTCGTCCATTCTGAGGTCCTCAGGGAGGAGGACATGGGCTGGGTGTCATCTTCCAGTTGAGTGAGGACAGAGCAGGGGCGGGACTTCTGACACCAGGACACTTGCTAGCAGGCCACCTCCCAAACTTGCCCAAAATCTCTTTTGCTGTAGAGGTGAGAGGCAGTGTTAGATCCGAACACTGTGGTTCGTCCTGGGACACTGGCAAGAGCAGCTTCATGGCAGGGCCCAGATGCCCCTCTTCACAGCTCTGCTTCCTCCCCCCGCCAGGTGAAAGCCAACCTGGAGAAGGCCAAGCAGACCCTGGAGCATGGGCAATGGGAGTTGGCCAAGGACGTGAAGGTCCTGCTGCAGGAAAAAGGGGACTCAGAGCACAAGCGGCAGAAAGCAGAGGCCCAGCTACAGGAGCTGCAGGAAAAGTTCAACGAGGGAGAGCGAGTGCGCACACTACTGGCCAGGAGGGTCACTGAGCTGCAGGTGAGGCCTCTGCCAGGACCAGGGCCTGGGTGGTAGTCCCTTCAGGAGCTCCTCGGTCTGGAGCGACTCCAGTTCTCTGGGACTCCTGCCCTGTGTCATGCCTCACAGTGGCCCCTCCCCAAGGATGCTGGGTTCATCCTGTGACTCAGGTCCACCTTAACCTAGAGGCACCCAGGTGGGGCCAGAGAAGTCATGCTCCAGACTCAGGGCCTTTGTCTGTCCTGGCCCCGAGCAGGTGGAGCTGGACAGTGTGACGGGCCTTCTGAGGCAGTCTGACAGCAAGTGCAGCCAGCTCACCAAGGATGTCTCCACTTTGCAGTCCCAGCTGCAGGACACGCAGGTAAGGGTGGTAACAGTTGTTCTATAGCTGGACCTTCCCCAGGAGGACTCGGTGCCCACATGGCAGCCCCTCCCGGACCTCTGGGTGTCCCGTCCCAGGGCTCTTCTGGTTCTGAGCCCTCCCCTGCATCCACGGGGTCTCTGGGTCCTCCCAGCTCCCCACTGGGTCTTCACCACCTGGGCCCTGACTCCAGGTACCAGCCGCTCTCTCCCGCCAAGGTTGTGGGGACAGCAAGGCTCTGGTGCTGTACCTCTTGAGCCCTGCATTCCTCTTGTCCTTGGAGTAGGAGCTGCTGTGGCAGCAGGACCAGCAGAAGCAGGGCCTGAGCACCCAGCTGCAGCAGGTGGAAGAAGAGAAGAGGTCCCTGAAGAAGCAGCTGGAGCAGGAGGAGGAGGCCAAGCATAACCTGGAGAATCAGATTGCCGCCCTGCTTGCCCAGGTTCCGTACTAGATCCCCCTTGAAACCCCCAGGGTGCTAGGTGGCTCAGGAACAATGGTTCAATTCTGCAGGATGGGTCTGCCCTGGTTGGCCTGAGCCAGGGCCCTTCCTCTCCAGGGAGATCCCATCCTCTCCAGCCCAGAGCTCTTAGCCCTGGGTCCCCAGGTAGAATTCCAGGATCCATGAACTTGAGAGATGAGATGAAACACCCTTCATTTCACCAGTCTCCAGCTGACACCTAGCATTTCCTGCCTGATGAGTGTAGACCACAAGTCACGGCAGTCCCAGTGCCTGTCGTCCTGGTCACTAGAAACCAGCAGTCACCATGTGCAGACACAGCAGGGCTTCGGGGGTGTCACTGTGCTCTCTGCACTTCAGGGGGCTGCTCTCTGTGGTGCTCACAGAGAGGCATGTGGGTCACTCACCAGTTTAGTGGAAGTTCTGACAGCGGCCTTTGTCTGCATTGACTTTCCTGATCATCCGTGTATTTTGTGTGTCACATTGGGGATGAGGAGGAGTCCCAGTCTGCTCTACGCTGTCACAGGGTCCACGGCCTAAAGTGGACCAAGAGCCCCCATTCTAGATCCTATCCTGGGACTTAAGCGCCCCAGGCCAGGTGTGCCCTACACATAGGACGGGCCCAAGGTCTACTCCAAGGTCTGGGTAGGATTAGCTAGCATGGGCTATGGGTGGCAGTTTTCTGTCCACATGCAAAGAGGAGAGGTTGCAGGGCAGGTGCCCGGGGTTCTTTTCTTCCCAGAACACATATTCCCCAGAGGGCACCGGCCCGGCTCACTTTGTGAGTGAACTGGAGGATGTTCCTCTCTGGCCTTGGTGTTTGTCAGGGAGCAGCTGGGAGCAGGGCACCGAGGAGAGACCCTCCAGAGCTTCCCTGCCCTTCCCACAAAGTTTGTCTCTCTTGCCTGGTGGAAGGGGGTCCTCCACACCTGGTTTGGCTCTGGTGTCTGTTCCTGAGGAGCAGCCCAGCTCCCAGCTGCCTCAGGCACAGGTGTGTTCCCTGAGCAGGTGCCATCCTGGGTGTGTGCTCATTCCTTGTTTCTGGCCAGGTGAGCAACATGAAGAAAAAGATGGAGCATGGTGTGAGGTGCTTTGAGATTGTCAAGGAGGACAAGAGCACACTGGAGAAGGACCTGGAGGGGCTGAGGCAGCGCTACAAGGAGAAGGTGACCACCTACGACAGGGTGGAGAAGGACAGGATGTGGCTGCAGCAGGAGCTGCACCACCAGCGGCAGAGACTCTCTGACCTGGAGAAGAAGCAAATTGAGGTTGACCAGGTGTGCAGTCATGGGCACACTGCTCCTCATTTCCTCTCTTCCTCAAAGACCATGGCTTCAAGCCAAGTCCTTGGACAGGACTCAGGCCCTGGGAACCCATCACCACCAGCAGGTCCTCAGAGGTCTGGCTGGGCATCCCCCTTGCTGAAGGGCCTGCTCAGGTAGATATAGAAATTGGGCGTCTACACACTACAGGTTTAGGAATGTGTTTTCTGTTCTCTCTACTTTTTATATTT